GCCCGGCCTCGGGCCCCTGCCGCCTGCCCGCCTCCCGCGCTCCCGCCCCGACCGCCGCCGCTCGGCTGCACCATCTTGTCTCTTTTCTCTGGTCACCGACCATGTTTCCTCCTCGGGCTGGGAAAACACCCGCGGGGGGAGGGGCGCTGCGGGGGCTCGGCCCCGCTGCAAACTTTTCTCCCCGTCGTCGTCCTCCTCCTCCTCCCCCTGCTGCCTCCGCTGCTCCCCCTCCCCTGCTGCCCTCCCGGGGCCGGGCTGGGGGGTTGCTTTCTGCCTCCCTTACTTGGTTTTTTTAAAAGCCTTTTTCTTTATTTATTTATTTTTCTCCTCCTCCTCCCTTTGCAAGGCAGCTGGCGGCTGGGCGCGGGGAGTTGGCTGGCCCCAGGCTCTGGGCAAGGCCATCTTGTGTGTGCGAGTGTGGGTTTGTGTCCCACACACACACACACACGTAGGGGAGGATTTCACCCCCCCTCTGTAACACACACTAATTCCTCCCCCCCCCCCTTTAAATAATAAAGTTTGCTGCTGGTGAGACTGCACTGGCTGCGGCTGCCCAGGAGCAATGGTGAGGAGGGCATGGGTGTCCCACTGGCTTGGGAGCAGAGCCATACTGGTGCTGTGCCCCTGCCCCGCACCCTTCCTACCCCCCTGGGGTGCTGGCAGCCAGGGAGGAGGATTGACAGTAGCAAGGGGGCAGCGCTGTGCTGCTCCTGCTGCCACTGGCAGGAGGGGCAGCTGCTGCTCTGGGCTTCTCCGGAGGGCTCAGCTAAAGTGGGGGTCTCCTTCCCATCCCCCAGGGCAGTCAGATGGGTGGGGGAGGGGAGGGGAATGGTTTAGTGCTGGCGTCTCTGCTGTGCGCCCTCAGGAGTCCCATGTGCAGGCAGGAGTGCGGGGCCTCGTCAGCTCCTTGGCATCCTGGCAGGGTCGTGCTGGCTGGGGACTGCTGTTGCTGCTGCTGTGGAGACACGGGAGCTTTTGGGGGGACCCCAAACAGGAGAGTCTCCAGCAAGCCAGGGCCGGGGCAACCGGGTTGCAGCGCCTGATCGCTGGCTGCTGGCTTCTTTTCTTGTGCATGCATGTGTGACCGGTAGGTGTGAGGAAGAGAAGTTTGCGGGAACATGGCTCGTACCAAGCAAACTGCCCGTAAATCCACCGGCGGGAAGGCACCCAGGAAGCAGCTTGCTACAAAAGCAGCTCGCAAGAGCGCGCCCTCTACTGGCGGGGTCAAGAAACCTCATCGCTACAGGTACTGCAATGGCTAGGGACAAAAGGCTGCCGATGCAACCTCCTTGTAGTGTATCGGCAGCATCAGTCAGAGTCGGGCTTCTTTCTTTTTTTTTTTCTTTTGGGGGGCTTCCTTTCAAAATCCTCACTGGGATCATATTAGTCCAGTTTTTGCTGTTGCCTCACCTGATTTTGAGTGACTTCTGGTGATTGCAAACCCATCCTTGGCCCCACTGCCTCCATGTACCCACCCTGAGAGCCCATGCATTTTAGGGGGTGGATAATTAATTTTTAAATTCAATTTTTATGCTTGTGACATCATTTAAGCACAAATTAATTGGCATCCAACCATACCTGCAGCTTGGGGATTGGGCTTTTAATTAATTTCAATATCATACTTGAATGGAACCCTTCCAAACTTGAATGTGTAGAACTGATTTTGTTTTTTTTAATTTACTTCAACTGGTCCAATTCTGGCCTCGGTGCGTATTTTGCTGTTTTAATGAGCTGAGGGTGTAGTTAGAGCAATCTGCCGTTAGAGGGCAGGAGATGTCTATACATAAGCAGGGCCTGGAACTACAAATAATTTTACTTGGTTAAGGTAAAATAAAAGACCTGTGTGGAGGAGGGAATAAGTGAGAATTAGAGGCAAATCTCTTGTTGACCATTGTCGAGAAGTAAACTCTTCATTGTGCAAGGGTCCTTCTGGGTGGAAGTGTTTTAATCTATGATTGTTCATCTCTATGCACAATTGCTTGGTATCAAAAATCCCTCTTGGGAGCAGCAAGACCTCTGGAAAAAATTAACTTATTTATGTCATAGAATTGTAGGAAAATGAGTGTTGGAAGGGACCTCAGGAGGTCATCTAATCCAACCCCCTGCTCAAAGCAGCACCGTCCCCAACTATCACCCCAGCCAAGGCTTTGTCTACCTAGGCCTTAGATGATATAGCTGGGGATGGTCCTGCTCTGAGGACCATTTTTGAAATGCTACAAGGACAAACCCAGTTTGACACAGAATTTCTGGCCCCAAGGTAGTTCTTTAGATAATGTGGATGGGACTAAAAGATGCAAACGTCAGCAAGTGGCTTACAGAGGATTTCCCAAATGTTCATAATGACATATTCATAGTACTGATACTGAGGATACACTGTGTTTGCAAAAAAGATGCCAGTAATGTTAGAAGTTTGGTTTGAAGACACACAGCACTAGTTTAAAAAAAACAAAACAAACTTTTAAGTTCTTGGGATAAAACTATAATGGCAGTTGCTGTATTTTTTCACTGTTAGTTTTATGATTCTATGTTGGCTGTGTCTTAAGGGGAGAGGGTATATTTTTAATTTTTAAGTGTATATTAGCCGGTGACACAAAACCCTAGGGGGAACTTATGGTATGACTGGACCAGGTGACTTTGTTACATTACAGCATGCCTTGTCTGCACTAAGACTTTAACACACGTCAGCTAACGTGTTAATTAACATGTTATGCACCTTTTTCCTAGTGAAGACAAGGCTTTTGAGGGCCCACTCTTGCCATTTTTCCACATGTGGGATGTCTGAGTGCAGTAGAAGTTCCGAACAGATCAGTGGTGAGGTCAGGCCCTTTATTTGTAAGTGAAGTTGCATATTCTAAATATTAGGATGCTTCTAGCCAAAACGGAGCAGTTCCTACTTGAGTTAAGAATATTGAATAATTCAACTATAGAATTATAGAAAGTGAGGGTTGGAAGGAACCCCAGGAGGTCATCTAGTTCAACCCCCTGCTCAAAGCAGGACCATCCCTGACTAAATCATCCCAGCCAAGGCTTTGTCTAGCTGGGTCTTAAAAACTTCCAAGGATGGAGACTCCACAACCTCCCTGGGTAACCTGTTCCAGTGCTTTACTACTCTCCTAGTCAGAGAGTTTTTTCCTAATGTCTAATCTAAACTTCCCTTGCTGCAACTTGAGACCATTGCTCTTTGTTCTGTTATCTGCCACTACTGAGAACAGTTTATCTCCATCTTCTTTGTGACCACCCTTCAGGTAGTTGAAGGCTGCTATTAAATGCCCCCCTCCTGCTTCCCTCCTCTTAAGCTTATATAAGCCCAGTCTTCCCTCAGCCTCTTCTCAGAAGTCATGTCCCCCCAGCCCCTAACCATTTTCACTGCCCTCCACTGGACTGTGTCCAATTTGTCCACATCCTTTCTGTAGTGGGGGGCCCAAAATTGGACCCAGTACTGTAGATGTGGCCTCACCAGTACCAAATAGAGGGGAAGAATTGCTTCACTTGATCTGTTGAAGTGTGATACTTGTACATATTCATTGCTTGTCTTTCTCTTAATTAAAGGCCGGGTACTGTGGCTCTCCGTGAAATCAGACGTTATCAAAAGTCTACTGAACTTTTGATCCGCAAACTTCCCTTCCAGCGTCTGGTGCGTGAAATTGCTCAGGACTTCAAAACAGATCTGCGCTTCCAGAGCGCTGCTATTGGTGCTTTGCAGGTAAGAGTTAAAAGAAGGCCATTTTCTTAGGCCTGATTTAAAAGAATCTCTCGTGTAGAGGAGCTTGTTGAAGGCAGTTGTTACTCAGACTTAACGTGTATGCCTCTGTGTTTTTATGTTTAGAAAGTGGCTACTTGACGTCCCTTTTTGCTAGTTACAACTCTTCAGAATTAGGATGCTGCTTAAGCAAAATGAGTTATCTGATCTTTCCCATGCAAATGACCTAAGAATTACCAGGGACTAAGGGACCATCCCTAGTATACCTATGATTTCTTAATTTGTTTGTTTATTTTTTTTGCAATTCATTTCTGTAGAGACCCTTGAATGCTAGAATTGAGCTGTAAGCAAAATGTTTATTCGTTTTAAATGCTGGAGAAGAGTTTTACAAAGGAAACAACAAATCAGAAACAGGATGGTACTTTTGAGACATTACTATAAATAAACACAACTTAATTTCTAACTTTTCTATAGGATGTCTTTTTTAGTCTTGGGATAAAACACAGATAATGTAAGAACTGTAAAGAATATTTTTCTTAGTGCAGTCACAGACAGTGGCATGCTGTTCTTTGTTACTGTGTGAGAGAGAACGTGATAGGTCAGTTGCGTATACTCATGCAATTGGCCAGGCTGTTTCTATGGTTAGTTAAAATTTCACTTGATTGGTGGACTCCAGAATTAGGCATACATCAATTCTAGGTGAGTTGATACTGCCTGTGTTCTACTTGCCCAGAGCAATTAATGTCATATCATGAAATTAATCTGTAATTAGGATAAAATAATCCACTCTGATATGGCAGCAACAACTTAAAAATGCCATGAATGCTTTCTTAAAGTTCTCTTAGAAATCTCCTTTTTCACTTGTGTTGTATTTGTATTTAGTAGAGCTTTAAGATAAAGCTGTCGTTTCTTCACTCCTGCTTAAACTTTATTGGAGCTAACATTTATGAAAGATGAGGAATTTGTGTGTGGAATATTGGTATATTTGTATGCATGCACAAGCAAAGTTTGTTCTGTGTGGTGTTTCCCCTCGAGACCTGTGCTTAAAAGAAACCTCCAGTTCTGATACAAAATTTCTGATAACGTGTTTAGGAAATGAGGGCTTGTGTGTAATACAGTGGTTATAACAGTATGATTGCAGGTCTGTTAGTGTTTGAGTTGTGCCGTATGCTATGTTCCTGTGTAGTACTGGTGGCTTCTTATTGATTCTGCTCTTTAATTTTTTTAGAGTAACTTAAATACTGCTTTTTTTCTTAATTGCATCACATTTAGTCAAGAAAACGACATAGATAAAATGATTGCAACTTAGCGACTTTATCCAGTTGTGACTACTATATTCAATCCTGCGATCCTGTCCACTTGTCATTTTGAAAAATACACTACTTTTCTGACTAGACATCAGTTAAGTAGAATTTCTCATGATAAACATTTGCAGGCTCAAACATGTTTGGGTGGGTGGTGGTGTTTGTCTTTAAACCCAGAATATGGTATTAGAGGGGACTGTCTAAGGCAACTGCATCATACATTCTCTCTCAAAATGATATAGCTTTATCTTAAAAGTAGTTAGGAGTAGAGGACACCAAAACCTACCAAAAGGCTATTCCAGTACCTCATTGCTTTTGAAGGTTAGAAAACTCCTAATTTCCAGTTGAAACTTGTTTGTGCCCAGTGTATAGCCACTTTTTTTTCTTGTGCCAAATTGTCCTTTGCTTAATTAATGTGTGCGTTTTTAAAGCAAAAATATATGGTATGAGGTCCTGCAACTCCTTGAGCATATACTTACTCTTAATGACTGATTTCAGTGGAAGTACACATAATTTAAAGTTGAGCATCTATACATTTTCCCCAGCTCTTAGTCTTTGGCTTTTTAAGTCCTCTAACTAGTGTTCTCAATCAGTGATAGTAAGTGGGAGAGCTTTTGAGCTCTGTAGCTTGTCTGTATGAATCTTTTTACCTTGAATGAATTGATTTCAATAGTAACTGAAGATAGCTAATACATTTGCAAAGACTAATTTGGACAGACTCCGCATGTTCATGCTAGGGGCAGATTGCTGGTAATCTTTACTAGTAAAAGTATTCATTAATGTGGATATAGCTAAACTGGCAAAGCTGCACTCATCAGTACAGTAAAGCCACTCCCCACAAATTGGTGGGGGGGAGGGAGAGTGGAAACTATGCTGATGAAAGAGCAGTGTTGTCATTATAACTGCCTACACAAACATCTGTGTTGGTCAGGGGTCCTGCCTGTTCATGCTGCTGGCTCACAGCTTTACCAGTAGAAATCTAGAGTGTAGACTTGTCTCAGTTTCAGGCTAGAAATTGTAGTCAGCCTAGGGGATATGTCTTGACAGCCAAAAGCTGCGCTCTTCCCCTGCCATCCCCCTCTCCCCGGAGTTTGACTCTTCCTAATGGGCTCAGTTCAGTTGAAAGCCCTGTTTTGATTCAGGCTAATGTGTTTCAATGCTGTGTGAAAATCTTGGTCCTTTTTTTTTTTTTCATTTGGCTCTTAGATACCCTTTTTGCTATAGTGTCTTGTCTGATCATTCCATTTACAAATACTCTGCTTTAAAACAAGTTGACATTAAGTTTACAGAGTCTGGAAAAACCTTATGCAACCTACCAGGTTTGCTTAGCAGTTTCTATAGTTAGAAAGTTTTATGTACACACTTCCTGTAGTAGTAGGATGTAACCTGAAAATTATTTGTTATACCTAAACGATTGCTAACCTTAAGCAACATAAATTCTTGCCAATAAAACTGCTGCTGATTCTTGTATAATGGTGGGATTTGCTGGGTCTTGTTTCTTTAAAGGAGAGAGAGATTCCGAGAGTATTTTAATAATCGAATATCACCTTTTTATTTATTCATGTGGGTACAATCAGAATCTTTCTGTAATTCTCTTCAGAGGGCATTATCATTCAATAACAATAGCGTATCATTGGCTTAAACTTTGTTACAGAAGTCTGCTAGCATTTCTTTGTCAGCTAGGGATGTTTTGATGAGCAGATATAGCCATACTAGTGAAACTCTGATGCGGATGCAGTTCTGGCAAAGCTGCTACTGTCCATGAGAGCTGGTATAACTGACTGGAAAAACTCCTGCCAGTATACACTGCACCAACAGTAGGGGGCTCTGCTGCTGTAGGTAAGGTGGCAACAGCCCTGTAATGTAGGAAAGGCCTTTTTTTTTGGGCCAAGATGCAGAAAATGTCATCAACTAAAATAAATGGACTATATGCTGACAATCTTTAGAGAGTTAGTTAGAGATTCTTCTACTGTTTTAAAAAAATACAAAACTAGGTACATAGACTAAAGATAAATGCTTACACTGAAATTATAGGCAGAAAAGTTCTTTGGGTAAATGTGATAGGTTTTTATTAGATCAACTAGATACTTGGAAAAAATGTTCTTTACAAGCTTTCAAGAACAAACACCCTTCTTCAGGCATAGGGAAATTACACTGAGGTTACTGGGGTTCTGCTCTGGGCACTCTGGTGTCCTGTATGTAAAACCACTCCTAACTTTTTTCTTTTTTTTCTCCTTTAATAGGAGGCAAGTGAAGCCTACTTGGTTGGCTTGTTTGAAGATACCAACCTGTGTGCTATCCATGCCAAACGTGTCACAATCATGCCAAAAGATATCCAGCTAGCACGCCGCATACGTGGAGAGCGTGCTTAAAATCCACTATGATGGGCTTATCATTCTCAACACAAAAAGAATCTCTTCTTCCTGTTTATTGGTAGTAATGAACGTTAGATATTTTTTCCATGGGGTTAAAAGGTACCTAAGTATATGGTTGCAAATGGAAAAATAGGGGACAGAATCGGGTATTGGCAAGTTTTGTTTTGTTTTGTTTTGGGTTTTTTTTTTCATTTTCATTTGTGTGTGGATTTTTAATATAAATGCGGGGACATAAAGCATTAATGCAGTCAAAAATGTTTCAGTGAACAAGTTTCAACAATTCAACTTTATAACAATTATAAATAAACCTGCAAATTTTTCTGGACAATGCCAGCATTGGATTTTTTTAAACAAGTAAATTTCTTATTGATGGCAACTAAATGGTGTTTGTAGCATTTTTATCATACAGTAGATTCCATCCATTCACTATACTTTTCTAACTGAGTTGTCCTACATGCAAGTACATGTTTTTAATGTTGTCTGTCTTCTGTGCTGTTCCTGTAAGTTTGCTATTAAAATACATTAAACGACACTTGCTTTTAGTCTTCCTTTTTTTTTTTTTTTACTTTTAAATTGGATCATATTTAATCTAAATGTTCAGAGAACAAGATTCTGGAGGATTCTTCATTCCTCTTCCCTGTCAGTATTACAGCTGAATGCTTCTAGTACTGTTTAATATTAAATTTTTGTACTATATAACCCTTAATATAAGTAAATCTT